AAGTGCTTTCATTTCTTTCGCAATTGGGTGGCATTGTCTTTCATTGTGAATTTGCACTTGGGAAATGACCAGGATCGTAACAATTGGTATCGGAGCGGACTTACTTGCTGGCGAGAGGTGTTAGTCACCCTAACCCTAATTCCGAATTAGGTTAAGGCTGACCTAATCTCGGATTAGGGTTGGGAAGTTAGGGTTAAGTGGGGCAGCGAGGTATGGGGATGCTGCCCCCACGTGGTTAGGTCATGTAGGGTCGACATTGGACCCAACCAGGTTGCTTGAGTGAATGTATGGGGTGGCGAGACACAAAGGAGGCTGAGTGGAGTAAGCGAGAGGGAGTAGAGAGTGAGAGGTACTCGCACCTGGAATCTGGACTTCAGGAAGACATTGAGTGACTTTTGGGCTTCCCCTCAAGAGGGAGACTTGATTGGAGGCTGCCATATCTGCATCGGATTGCTGCAAGTTGCTACTTTGGTCTTCAGGCATCGACGGGGGATCCGGCTTTGCAACAGGGGTGTAGGAAGGCCCTCTTAGTCATGCTAGGACACTTCGTGTAGTGGTAGCTAGGGGTCAGGAGGACTTACATGAGAGGGGAGTGATCCATTATCCATCTTTGGAGGTCGGGCCTCATAGGTAAGTGTTGTGTGACCTGGGTAAGCCCGTGGGCGGTTGCTTGGTGCTTCATGGCCTGTTGGGGGTGTGCTGGGTTCTCTTCCTTTTCTCTGCGGTCTTGGTTGTGTGTGTGAGCTTGCGGATTGCTTTCTCACCTGATGGATGGATGGATGATGTATCTACTCTAAATGACATATCTTTCTACGGTGCATTGTCTTTTCATTTCTGAACGGCTGTAGAAGTAAGTTCTTGTTGAAAGTTGTCTTTCCCTTTTCAGTACGGTAGAGACAGTTTGGGACCGACTTGGTACCCCTATCACGTTGGTCCTGGTCCACGGCCTACTTGGGACCACTCGGGACCCAGTGGGACCAGGCCCAACGGGACAGGACCTTTTGGGCCCAGATCTGTTGTCGCCAGTGCATTTCTTTGTTGCGCTGAACTTGGGGGACATACGGACAGCAAGGGCATTCTTTCAAGGGGATCTTGACTGATCTTACCGCCTGTTATCACATACTGCCCCGCGTCTGACTCGACGACCATCTGCACCCCTCGAAATCTCCATTGCTGCAGTTAGTTTTCTTCGGCTGACTTATTGTGATGCATGTCCCTTGTCAGGTTAGACAAGAGGGGATCTCCAACTGATCTGATGGGGACCGTTCTATAAGTCAGTCCTCTCTTCCGTTTTTTTTTTTGATTATTTTATTTATTTATTCTTTTTTTCGTTGCGTGCCATTCTCTGAGTCTAAATGAATTGTCGCCCCGGCTAGGAGTTCTACCTTCTTCTCTGTGTGAACTTTCTGATTGTTTCATTCATCTGAACTATCTATGTCCGACATCGAGACCTGTGCGCAGACAGCGAGAAGAGAAGAAAGGGAGAGAGAAGGTGTTCTGTTTGAGAGTGTGAGAAGGGGCAAGAGGAGTGTTCGTCCAAATGTCAGGAGAGAGCGGACCCCTCTTGAGAGATCTACTAACCCCCCTTCCTCCGGCATGGCAAACATCGCATATGCCCAATGGCAGGCCATGCTGGACGCAGCGGACGAGAGTCATAAACCGTTCTTTCAAAAATTGTATGACGACGCCGTACAGAGAGAGAGGGAGGCAGAGGCAGCAGCCAGGGCTACAAGCATAGCTGCTCAGGTGGCCCTCCTACAGGTCCCGAAAGCCAATGCTGACCGGTTCCAGGAGAGGCTACCTGCTGCCGTAGCAGCCTTGGTTCAACTGCGGAACTTGGAGGATCTTGAGTCCCGTGTAACAGCGTTGGAGTAGCGGAACCAAGAGCTGCAGGCTGAGATAATCAGCCTCAAACAGTCCCAACTGTCTGCCCCCCGCCCTCCTAACTCTCGACCTCCCAAATGCAGGGACATCAGCCCAAAACGACTTAGTCCTTACTGGCATTCAGTACAGCGGTCCCATGGTGGACAAGCGGGCGGCCACGCTGCCGTCCAAGTACGACGGGAAGGCAGACATCACCTCTTGGATTAGTTCCATGCGGTCATACTTCGAGGTCATGCGGACACCGCAAGAGGACCGAAGTATGATCATGGGGACTAATACTGAGCCCGCCGTACGAAACCACATTGAGCTCCAAGTTGTTGCTGCAAACTATGAACGCATAGACCTGACTGAATGGCTGAAGGTAACCCCTGTACGCACCCTTGAGGACCTTCTCCTCGCACGGTACCAAGACAAGCATGCTGCGCTCAAGGCTAGGCTGAAGCTTGAGGCCCTCAAGGGTCAGACATGGAGGTCCTCCATGCAAGCTTTGGAACAGCACTTGACTGGTTTGTTCACTACTCCGGATTTGGGTATGACCGATGTGTCTTGTATGGATGTAGTCATGGGAGTGGCCCCCAAAGAATACCTCTCCCTGTTGGCACTCAAAGACCATACCACCTGGCGAGAGCTCATGACGGATCTAGTCAACCTAGAGGCCAAGGACCTCGCCAGGCGGAAGAAGGCACCCGCTGCAGGTGGGAAACCACAACGCAAGCGGTTTGGAAGCAGCAACCAGCTTGCACTGCATGATCATGGGGAGGCTGAAGATCAGTCCTATGCGGATGATCTGTCTGACTCTAGATGACGATCTAGAGCCGGACTCCGATATGGGTTGTTCCTCATCAGCCATTGAGTCCGACGTAAATGAAGAAGAAAAACTTAATGCTTTCAGAAAGACTGCTTCAAACAAGGGGCCTAACTGTGGTTCAGGTAAGGGAACTGTTGTCCACCTCCCCAAAAACGCAAAGATTCCTGAGAAATGGGAGGATGCATCAACCAAGCCTTGGGAAGCCCTCCGTATCAGTCAAAAGGAATGGGAAAGAAGATCTATGGGCATGTTGTGCAGGACTGTTATAGACTGCAGGGAAACAAGCAAGGGGCGTAGAGGAGTCATCAGCACTCCCTACAACAAGGGAAGCTGGAACATCAGTTGCAGGCCCCTCTGATGAGCCTGAATCTGATCAACAACCTACTCTTGAAGCCCGGAATGAAGCTGATTTCAAGGCTGCTGCAGTTCATGTGCTGTACACTGAGCCTTGGGAGGAGTCTAAGGAAGTTGACTTCCACGCTCACATGGAACATTGGCTGCAGCTCAAGCAGCAATGCCGTGTTCAAGGGAGTGTGGAACTGACCTTCTTTAAACTACTCATCAACCGCCGATACATCCGCGTGCTGATTGACAGTGGTTCAACCACTAATTTCTTTTCTCCTAACGGGATTCGTAAGGCGGGCCTGGGAACGAAGCAAGTGGAACTGCAGAACCCTTGTTAGACCCAGGTGGGCAACCAAGAGGTTGTCACTTCCACTCATGCTGTCAAAGGTGTGCGCATCACCTTTGACAAGGACCGCACTGTCACACATGAGCTCAACTTCTATGTCATGGACAAGTGTCCGTTCGACGCAGTCATTGGCTTGGGCTGGCTAAAGGCTCATTGCCTAAGGACCACGTGGGCGGACAATCAGTTCGTGGTGCTTGATGCCAAGGGGAACGAGCGTACCGTCTTATTAGATGAGACGCGCGAGTCCCCTGTGACTCTTCTAAGTGCAAACAAATTCTGCAGGTGAGTGCGCAGGCGCAAGGAAGCTGAGTTTGTACGTATAGCTCTTGTAAAGCCTCTCCATGTGCCTTCTACTTTTGCTGCATTTCCTGCCTCTGAAGGTAACTCTACCTCTACTACTTCTACTTTTGTTCCATCTACTTCTACTGTAAATAATCAACCCACTTCTGATCAGAATGCTTCAAAGCCAGTTGTAATTGCTGTAAATTCCCAATTTGATTTTCTTTCTCCTGATGAGGATGATCCTCCACCGGAAATCCCAGCAAACATTCGCCATCTATTAGATCGATTTCCTGAAGTCTTGGCTGAACCTTGCGGAGTTCCCGAGTGTCCAGTCAAACACAAAATCGAGATAATAGAAGGGAGTGTTCTGCCAAAGGGCTGCGTCTACCGTATGGGACAAGGCGAGTTGGAGGAGCTGCGGAGACAAATTGATGACATGATTGATCGCGGATGGATTAGGCCCAACGAGTCTGAGTTTGGCGCACCTGTCTTGTTTGTGCCGAAGAAAGGAGGCAAACTCCGGATGTGCATTGATTATCGTGGCTTGAACCGGATCACAAGGAAAAATGTCTACCCTTTGCCTCGTATAGATGACCTGTTAGATGCGGCCGGTGGTTGCAAAGTCTTCTCCAAGATCGACCTCAAGTCTGGCTACCACCAGATTTGCTAAATCAACATACAACAAGATTGTATCATGGGTTCAAATTGCGTGAAATATGTAAATTGATCTAATTGAGGCATGAAGTTGATCCGAGCGACCAGCACAAGACTGCATTCAAGACACGCGATGGGCTGTACGAATTCATCGTTATGCCCTTCGGTCTTACGAATGCACCAGCCACATTTCAGTGCCTCATGGACAAGGTACTCGGCCATCAACTTAACAGGTTTGTGGTTGTGTATCTTGATGACATTCTGATTTTCAGCAAGTCCATGGATGAGCACGTCAAGCCTCTCGAGGCTCTCGAGGAGGTTTTGCAAGTCCTCAAAGAACGCAACTGGACCTCAACTTGGAAAAATCTGAGTTTGGTAGGGACAGTGTCATCTACCTCGGGCACCGGTTGTCTGCAAACGGCCTTGAGCCGGAGGCAACCAAGGTTGAGGTCATTCGCGACTGGCCTCAACCGGCGAATGTACGCGAGCTGCGTTCTTTTCTTGGTTTGACTTCTTATTACCGGAAGTTTGTACCCAGATTTTCTGTTATTGCTCACCCACTCTCGAGACTGACAAGTAAGAACGTTGCTTATGTGTGGTGTGAGAAATGTGAGATTGCGTTCCAAGCCTTGAAAGAGGCTTTGGTGAGTCATCCTGTGCTCCGCATTGCGGATCCCAACCTCACGTTCGTAGTCACTACGGACGCGAGCCAGTTTGGGATTGGTGCAGTGCTGCAACAAGATGATGGCGATGGCCTGCGTCCGGTCGAATATTACAGCAAACGCATGCCCAGCCACAAAGTAGCTACTTCCACATATATGCGTGAGCTCTACGCCTTGCACGAGGCGCTCACACATTGGAAGCACTACCTTTTGGGTCGACACTTCAAGGTCTATTCAGATCACCAGACCTTGCAATGGATTAAGACGCGAAATGATCTTTCCCCAACGATGACCTGCTGGCTGCATGACATTGATGTCTTTAACTTCGAACTAAAACATAAGAAAGGCTGTTATAACCGTGTTGCTGATGCTTTGTCGCGCCATCCCGAGTATTTGACTTGCCTTGTGGGTTCATACGACCTCTGAAGGAAACTGAAGGAGGATCTGGCTGAACACACCACCAAGGATCCGGACCTAAGTCCCATCCTTGAGTAGCTCAAGGGTGACCCTAACAGTTAGCCTGATTTTCATGAATGCGAGGGTCTTGTATTCCGCGGGTATGGGAAGTATGACCGTTTGTGTGTACCCAACCATGCGCCTCTCCGAACTCATTTCTTGGATTTGGCACATGGTCGGAGTGGACATTTTGGCTTTGAGAAGACTTATGGAAGTCTTCTGCGGCAATTTGATTGGCCAGGAATGAAGGGATCTGCTAAGAAATTCATTGCTGAATGAAGTATGCCAAAGAGTCAAGGTCCACAAGCATAAGCCTTATGGCCTATTGAGACCTTTCCCCATTCCTAATGGACCCGGTGAATCGATTTCCATCGACTTCACGGACATGGGAAAGGTGAGTGAGACTGGGAATTCACAAGTCATGGTCATTGTGGACCGCTTCTCCAAATTTATGAACTTGACTCCTCTCCCTCCTCATGCCCCGACTGAACTTGTCATAGAAGAATTCCATTAGCAGTACATTCTGCAGTCCGGCGTCCCGAAAACTATTGTGAGTGATCAAGACACCAGATTCATCAGCAAAGATTGGAAAGACCTCACATCTCAGATCTACGACATCAAACTAAACAGGACTTCTGGTCGACACCCCGAAGCCAACGGATTGGCTGAGGAGATCAACCAGACTGTCATCCAACTGCTTCGCGCACTAATTGTTCCAGATCAGAACACGTGGGACAAGGAATTACACAAAGTGAAGGGGCTGTACAACAACTCCATTCACTCTGCGATTGGTGTGACACCAAACCAATTGCAGTATGGATGGCCGATGCGTAACCCCCTCTCCTATCGGTTCCCCGAACGGTCACCTGGTCTGATGCCCCGACATGCCTGCCTACAATGCCAAGTACGCACGCTTGCTCAAAGCTGTTACATCAGCTATGAACAAGCGCCAGCATGCCATGATCAAACATGCCAATAAGTTGCGCAAAGAAGAAAAATTCAAATTAGGGGATTATGTCTGGGTCAAAATGTCTGAGTTTTTTTATGAAGAGGGCATATCACGGAAGCTTCTTCCATTGTACTACGGCCCTTGGCAGATTCTGAAGGTAGTCGGGGATGACTTTGGCCCTTCATTTGTGATCGACGTGCCTCCTCATCTGCGCACGTATCCGGTCTTTAATGCGTCCAAACTATTCCCACACATTAATGATGAGACCTTTCCTTTCCGAGACCCGATGATACCTCGCCCTATCGACGGCGGCCATGGACATAATCGTATCTCACTAGGGCAGAGGGAGGAACAGACAGTATAAGGTTCACTTCCTCTATCACCCTTTGACTGAATTCTTCTGGATCGATCGGAAAGAGCTGCTAAAGAGTGCTCCCCGTGTTGTGAACGCTTACGAAAGACAGATCACCGAGGGATCGACCGCTAAGTTCGTAGTGACAATGACTCCTCATGGATTGACCAAGTCTCTTTTTCTGATGTACTCCTACGATGCGTTCTGTACCGACTCTAATTGAGTTACTCGCTCGAAGGGACCTCGCTCTCGAGAGGGGAGTAATGTAATGACCCGCCAAAAACACAGACTGAGAACACTGCTGATTTCTGGGATTTGTCACTGGAATGAATGCCTTGTTGTGATTCCCGCATTCTGCTGTGGTTCCAAGTCTGTGTGTGTGCGTGCCTGCTGGTTTGCATGCCTGTCTAAGTGCTTGCCGGTTGCGTGTGTGTGCGTACATGCTGGTTTGCATGCCTGTCTGAGTGCTTGCCGGTTGGGTATATGTCTGTGTGACCCGCAAGGGTACTTGTTGGTTGCAAGGCCCCATCGGGCCGGTACTTACCTGTGGCCGTGACTGTGAGGGTTGCAGGGGGGTCAACACGCCGGTAGCGGGGGGTAGGCCCACGACACTTAGAGCAGTTGAGGAAAAACACTCAAGTAGCAGGTAGGCCGAGCAGAAGAAGACAAAAAGTTGGCATTTTTTTAGGCCCAGTAGCGGTAGGTTAGAGGTAGGCCGGTACCAGTCCAAGTAGCCCGGGTCTAGGGCCTGTGCGGACAATAACAGAGCCTGCAATGATGTTTCCCTCCGAAAGGGAGGAGGTACCGGTTGCTGGGAGGCCACTCGGCCTAGGAAGTCACTGCCCAGGAGGCCGGTAGGCCGCTATATCTTCAGGAAGAGCGAAGAGCTCTTCCTCATTTGCGGTGTGCAAGGATTGGCGACATGCTGTTGGAGCACAGCGCTCGAGGTACAGCGCTGCTTGGAGGGAGAAGGGCCGCTGGGAGCTCAGCCCGGCTATGGCGAGCAACCCAGCTTGAGGATGAGGAAGAAGGTGGCATGGTAGGAGAGTGGCGGGGCACTTACCTAGCTATGGTAGACACCATCTTCATCACCTTGTTGGGCGCTGCATCTGGAAGGCCCCAATTGGGGTAGTGCGGCACTAAGGAAGCTCGAGGTAGAGTCAGGCATAGCGGACCAAGTCAGCAGCAGCATAGCTGCTTTGGGTTGTCCTTTGGACATCAGGGCAAGGCCCTCATTAGTCCGCCATAGCCTATGCATGAGAGAGGAGGCTGAAGGAGGGAAGCCATAGCTATGGTGGACTGGTTGTTGTTGTTGTTGTTGTTGAGTTGAGTCAGCAGTAAGAGGGAACTTCGGATATTGATTATGGTTCATCCATTCGTTGTTATTATTATTATTATTGAGAGAAGAATAAGATTGGTGAAGAGGTGGAGGAGGAAGAAGGTGGAGAGAGAAGGGGGAATTGTCATTGATCTTGCTGGTGTACTTCTTCTTCTTCTTCTTCTTCTTCTTCTTCTTCTTCTTTACCTCTCCTCTAGTCTTTATCTCTTTGCAAGTGCTTTCATTTCTTTCGCAATTGGGTGGCATTGTCTTTCATTGTGAATTTGCATTTGGGAAATGACCAGGATCGTAACACTTTAGAAGATAATAGTCTCAAGTCCTTAGCTCCAACCTCATAGATTCAAGTGAATGGTCAAAGCCTGGAGAGGTTCAAGCGAAGGTCTAACATCAATTACAACTCGTTGCCCTATCAAGGGTGAGCAAAAATAGTGTAAGCGCTAGTCCTTTTACTGTTATCCCAACTGCCTCTAGGATCAAATACCCAGTTTGCCGAAAAGGTGCCATGCAGATTTACTACTTCCCATAGTCCTCTCCATTAAGGTCATAGCTCGTCGTTCATCGCATCTGCTTATCGCCGTGTATGCCTAATTGAATCATACGAGGCAAACTTCACACTTTCATGGCTATATAAGTTGAACAACCGCTTAGAACCCAGACTCCAGGATTTCCGTCCATACTCATAAAAAAAACTTTTAGCGTCCTTAGCCTAACCCTCCTTGAAGTCGCTCGACGACTTCTAACATAATAGGCTCCCTTACACATCTTTGGCCTCACTCTAATGCAAAAGCACCAAGTTGCTTTCATGACCACTCAGATAACCCTTTCGATCATAGTAGCTACCTTATAGGGTCAAGTCCCTCAATGGACGTTCTGAGCCCGACGTCACCTTATCTTACCCTAACCATACCAACCATGCAAAGCAACGTCCAAACCCGTCAACTATCATGGTTCGAAGGGGTACCAACTCCAACTTTCATCCTACTAGTCAGCGTGCATTAGCGCATAGTCAAAACGCTTATCCCTCTTGTGCTATCCCCACTGCACTAGTCAAAACCAACTCACACATCTCTCCATCCAATACCATCAATCGATTAACCATAAAATTTCAAAGAAAACTTTCCATTTTGCTTAGTTTTCACTTTCCCATACCCGGATGTCGTTCCACCAGGGACAATGGTAGGCAACTGTTATCCCCGGCAACGGCGCCACCTGTCGAGCGCATCGGTCCGGCACCGCACAAGGCAGGGCGGGACGCTCCCGGCCGCGTCACGCAGGAGTTGGTCTTAATCCTCCTCGCGAATACATAATGGAGCTTCCGCAAGCCGCTCCGCCCGAGTGCTCCAACCATACCTCTCGCGAGCCCCTATAATAGGATAGGGCCTACGTGAGGCACGACTTACCTCCACCTTACGGGAGCTGTCACCTCCCTTCGGTGGGTGTATCCCCGCTGAGCTACCAGTCCACAGTACGAAAGCTAATCAGTTGCAATCGCAGAGGTGGACCATCCGAGGGCGTTTCTCGTTCGCTGTAGCATAGGGGGTACACGCGGTTTTACGCCTCTATCGGACCCGCATGTGAACCGACGCCTTGGGGGGCTGAGGTCCCAAGCGCGATTCGTCGTCGGTCGACCAGAACGCATCACACACACCACGCGTACACCACTTTAAAGAACTCAAAATTTAAAAACAGACACACATATACATATACAGAACGACTCAAAACAAAGAACGCGACAACACTCCTAATCCCTTAGTAGCCATCCCATAACTCTCCGATGCTGAAATTGGATAGGCGTCTCGCACGACATTTAGTATAAAATAGCACGGACGCAGGGCTACTCTCATATCGACTCGCAATGCAAGCATACGCAAGCAGTCGCAATGATGGCGTACTATGTAGTACCCACACTCATGGAGTCCTCGTTAATCTTGAGGGTCACATTCGACACGTAAGTGTCGATTGACACTCGCCTCGAGGGAATGATTTCTCGACGCTGGACAACCGCCAAGTGCGGTTGAGAACCACACCCTCTTCTGCACCCTGCGAAGAGTGGGTGGTACACAAGTTCATACCTGTGGTGGCAATCGTCTCTTATCGCCCTGGAGACCAGCTCTATCATCCAGGGCCTGGAGAGAAATCAAGGGGTTTGACATTGGCGGCTGCCACGGACTACAACGTCCAACTATAAAAACCTCTAAAAAGCAAAGGATAACAGGGGATCTCCCTTTTCTCTCAAAAACATAATCTGTTTAACGCTTATGCGCGGTCACAGTAGGTCGCGCGAAACACTCAAGACATATGTATTTACATATATAGAGAGGGTTATACTTATGTGACGATCACTTCTCACAATCACAGTGGGACTCCTCTCGCCATATATATGTATATGATCGTGGGCAGTCAAATCCAAAATCCGAACCACTAAACATACATGCAATCACATCAAAGAGTCAACCGAAAGTCAATGCACTACACGGGGTCAACTTCAACTATTCTCTGTACTCACACCCCTCGCTTTAGCCATACAAGCCTCACTCTTGTGCAACTCCTCAAAATAAAATACTCAGTAATTTCGTTAAATGGCCATTCAAATAAAGTCCGGGCGAAAACACAACAAAACAAATCAAATCATAAGGCTAAAGCCTTTAGGTTAAGTGACAAGGGTGAATTGGAATTGAGTCATAAACCGACGAATCGGCAACCGACCTGTTATCGGTGATAACAAAAGATGATGATGATCCTCGTAGGATCAAGCTGAATCTAGCCCAAATCCTGAATCAATCGATCAAGAAGAACTGTAACACAAGACAGGTCAATCCCCAAGCTAAATCTACAAGTCCATGGAGAATAATCTTCATATCACGATCTTGCTCAAAATCATTCTATTTAACTAAGCCTAAGTCTACCTTTAAGCAAGTGTCAAAAGAAAGGTAGACCCTGGCAGAATCTCCTCTATACAGAGTGGATTTTTCAGGATTGCCACCTGTTAAAATATAATCTAACTCCTTTAAACTAAGGAAAATTTTGGCAGCGCTTCCCGTAGGAAAAATGCCTTTCCATAATTTATAGTAGCTCAAATATGAAAACCAAATCCAAACTCTAATTCTGGAAAGTCAAATTTTGTCTAACTCTCAGAAGTAGTAAAAATTTAGGCAGCACTTCCTTTGGAAAGCTAGACTTCCCAGTTATATACTGAGTCAGATATGAACTCAGAAACAAGACCTTAGTTCAACTAAGACAAAATTTAACTAACTCCTTAAATTTTCGGCAGCGCTTCTCGTAGAGGAAGTGCTATCCCAAGATTTATACAAAGCTAAGTTCAGAATCTAAAATAAATATTGAATTGTAATAAATAAAGTATATTAGTATTTAAATAATAGTGTTTGTTCTATAATATGTTCATATTGTGAAAAAAAAATAAAGGAAAAAAATTATTAAATTAATGAGTTGAATATGGTATATAAAAGACAAGTACTTATAAATCAAAGTATAGTTAAATAATAAATATACCCTGGTGACTTCTCAAGGTCCAATTTTGTCTAACTCCCTGAATTAGCAAAACTTTGGGCAGCACTCCCTGTAGAAAAGAAGGTTTTCCACATTTTTACTAAGCCAAAAAGTCAGAAAAACTGGACCCTGAAAAATATAAAATCTGATCAACTCCTTGGTTTTGTAGAAATTTCGGCAGCGCTTCCCGTAGAGAAAGTGGCTTACCAAGATTTATACAAGACCAAGTATAATAAATGATCCCAGAAAATGCAGAAATCGACCTAAGTAAAAGTAAACTTAGCTTAGAAAATGCAGGAATCAACCTAATTAGCTAAGAAAATGCAGAAATCGACCCGAGTAAAAATAAGCTTAGCGCAGAAAATGCAGGAATTGAAACTAACTCCTATGACTCTAGCACGTGGCGAGCAACTAAAGCAACTACCTATCAAACGGAAACTCAGACTAAGTAGTAGTCGCACTCAGTGACATGCAGGCCAAACCACAAAGGTAAGTACTCTCACCATCCCAAAGTCAACTTACCAAACAGTAGTTCATGATCTTTCAATGATTTATCCCTTTATACCCAACTTACATAGTGCATAAAGCTAGATCACCCAAACTTATGGAATATGTCTAGCTCAATCGTTGAATATACACAAACACAGGGCACAACAACTTTTCTCTTCTTTGGGCATATGACTAGGCCGCCCTTGTCGCCCTGAACCGTTTAAGTATCCAAGTTTTATATAACTATCTGCACTTAGTCTTTTGAGGTAGCATATAACTGAATCGATCATCTTTAGCTCAAGATTCAGTCTGCCCCTTCGTACCACAAATTTATTCTTAGTTAATACTCTCTTCAATTGGTGATAAGTTATAGTCAGACCACCCAAACTTATGGAACCCTGTCTAACTAGCCTGTTCATAGATAAAGTAATAAAAATATAGCCAAGTTATACCCTTTTGGTTCTAACATGTGCGCGGCATTGGACCAAGACCACCCAAACTTATGGAACATGTCCGGTCCTCTGCTTGATTCGTTCCCCTCGTTCAGAACTAAGAGAAACTGAGAAAAACCCAAAATAAGCAAGGCAACCAAGCCACCCAAACTTATGGGACAGTGCCTGGTTCGTAGAAAGTCTAGAACAAACAACCCTCGCAAGTCAGCGCAACCAGACCACCCAAACGTATGGAACATATCTGGTTCTCCAGGCAATTCAAAAATAAACATAGCATTGCGCCTCCCCAAACTTATGGAGACTTGCCCAACCTTTGACAGATCCAGTCAAACAAGCAATACTGCCTTCCTCCCATCCTTCCCCCAGATGCAATCCCACAATCTGCTTTCAGTCAAACAATGAAACTAAAACTGACATTGTGCATACATTCCTTTACTTAGTCTGGTTTGTGTCCTGAAAGTCAAACTGCAAGTCAAAGTAAGGGTGCATGCAGTATACTTAGTCAAAATGTAACAAAGAATACAGATAAGGGTTATAACTGGGTTTATAGAGAAAGATGAAAGGGTACCTCTCAGTTCCGTGTCTCTAGAACTCTTCCTGAGTTCCAGCAGAGCTCCCGCAATCGGTGGGCTGACTCCCCACAGAGTCTTGCTGTGGTCCTACGGGTTGCAATCCCGCCTGCGGCCTTCGTCTCAGAACTGGACTAGACTTAGAGTAAGAAGGGAAGGTGTTGCATACTGTAACCTGGAGACTAGAACAAGAAACGACCTTTCAATACAAAGTACAAGATAACACAGCGAAAGACTTAGATACCAGTGATCCGAACAATCAATGTTGTAATGCAGCCCTGAACATACATCAATGGGTCTGGCGCTTCACATAGGAAGACAGCGCCAGCCCATACCATACACAAACGAAGAGGAAGGGGATAGACGAAGAGGAGGGGGAAGATGGGAATGTCGTCAACACCAAGTCTTCGGCACAAGCCCAAATAGTCCCTCGTCGAAATGTCTGAATCCCAAATGTCAAGTCTGGATCCAATGTCGTCAAGTCTCAAGTCACAACTCTGTCTCTCTCTGACGTAGTCTGAGAAGTCAGGTGGCGAGAGGGTGAGAAGAGAAGGTGGACTTAGAAGAGGAAGAAAAAGAACTCTCTCTCTCTCTGTGTCCAGTACTAACCTGTGAAGTTGGCGCCTTGATGCAGGTACCACGAAGATGGAGCTGGAGCGATGGCGCCACAGGTAAGTACCACTGGCCTCCGCCAGTCTCTCTCTCCGACTCTACGATCTACCACCTACCAGCGCCCAGCGCTGAAGACTACAACTACAGCTATGGCGCCCAGCGTCGAAGACTACAGCTAGCGCTACTACTACTTAGCGCTGGAGACTACTGCAACGCTCCTCCTGAATGCTGCGGCCCAATCCTGAAGACTACCTCGTGCCTACTGAACTACCTACCCGTGAAGTGCATGGGAACTTCCTATGTACTACCGGGTGTGCCTTCTGAGCCTGCCGAAGGGAGGCAGGGGCTGCAGCTGCAGCTCCTGTTCAAACTTGTGAGGAACAAGCTATTGCTGGCCTGTTCCGCATTCCTGTTTACGTGCCTGAGTCTTAGGGGCAGGTCGAAACAATGAGGGCCTGAAAATGGCCCTCCGTTTCAGACTGAAAACTCTGGGTCTGAAAATACCCAGAAATAGGCTGAAACGGGGTAGGGCCTGCAGGCCCTCGTTTTTCAGCTTTCAGGCTGAAACGACCGGGGCCTGTAAGCCCTAAGTGGCTTTTAGGCTGAATGTCTGGGACGGGCCCTGCAGGGCCCGTGTGGCTACGGAGTATGCCACACCCCCCCCTCCTTGAAGAACGGAGCTTACCTGCGAGGGCGAAGCTATCTGTCTGAGGGAGGGACCACAGTCCGGGTGGGAGGGGCTGGTCGTGAAGCTTCCTGAGCTAACCTCCGCTTTTCGTAATGCGAGTAGATCAGCGGTGCGGATGCTTTCAAATCTGCGCCTGAAATCCACCGAGTGTCGTCGCGATCGGATGCTTTGAATGTGGCTTTGTACTGTCGCGGCTTGCTGCCGTACTTGCGATCGGAGATGACGCGGTCAACTTCCTGATGGCCATCCATAGGAGGGTCCTGCGATCGACGGTCCGGAAAGTCGTCGCTCTTGGCTGGCGTGTATGTTGCCAGCTTCGAGGCATGGAAGACCGGATGGACCGTCAGATGCTCTGGAATGTTGATCACAAATGAAGGGCCATCGGGCTCATCGCCCGCGGCTGCTGTCACAGACCAAGGTCCAAACCACTTGGGAAGCAGTTTGCGT